CACTTAGCTCCTTGTATTCCGAGATCCTTCCCGAAGATTCCCTTGCATTCATTGCCTGCGCTAGCCAGCGTAGGCTACAGGAATCCCTAGGCTTAACAGCCGTTTGTCAGGATTGCCTTCTGTATAATCTATATATGTGGAGATAACCAGAATCTAGTGTTCTATGATTCTGGTCTGGCCTTTTGGCCGAGTGGTTATGCACCTATCTCATGCATAATGTAGGATGGCGCCCTTTAGCTTGAATATCACCTCTTTGACCCATGCCTCTGCCCAGCTGTCTACATGCTGCACTGACACCGATACACTAGTATCTCTTTAATTATCAGAAGCGGGTAGCAATCAGCCTTTGAAACAGCGTCCAAGTGTCAGGCTCGTTGGTTAGTTCGGAGGTCAAGGGTCGGAACAGGACGGAGTCGGGACGGAGTCGGGACGGATGTAGTTGGGACGGAATGTGATCGGAACAGGATGTGATCGGAACGGGACGAGGGCGAGACAAGACGGAGGCGGAACGGGACGGAGGTGGAACGGGACAGAGTCGGGGTATAATGTAAAGCTTATAATAATCGGATCAATCTAAAGTCTAGAATAATTACAAGACAAAAAGCTACAGAACAAATCCAGTCCTAGACCTTCCTTAAGTACTCAAGAGCGGCTACTACAATCAGGGGTATGGTAGTCTACAGCTATAACACAGCAACTGATTGCTTATGTTGATTAGTAACTGTTGCTATCATAACATTGTAACCATCGCAACGCATTGACTATGTTACTAGGGAAGCTCCTGACTTGGTTGACCAGACTAAGCGCAGCATCTCAGCATTAGCCCATGGCACAATGGTAGTGACAAGCAGGCCGTTTTCCTCGTGGGGAAAGCCGGTCTGTGACACCAAGGCACAATAGTTAACACAAAGTGGTAAACTTCCACCTGGTTTCCGAACAAAAAGTACTGTGGCCCCTGCTGGCAAACTACTTGCATGAATATAGTCTTTGTCAAATAGATCTGTTAAGGTCTTTCTCAGTACCAATAATTCATCCCTTGACATTCCATGCAGGGGTCCCCGTGGTATTTTTTTTATCAGACTCGAGCCTTATCTTGTGATCACCTCCTTGGCAATGAGGCAGAAGTTTGTCTGTTATCTCTTTCCGAAAAAGGTCCGCAAATTCTTTGCAGTGATCTGGAAGCCTATCCAAATTTGTCGGTTACTTCTTTGAAGGTGCAAGTGCTTTCTGAATATCTGCAAGTGTTACAGAAAATATCTGGGTTGTGCCAGCCCTTGACTTTCTAGCCTTTCTAACTGTTGCAAGGAATACTCCTGCCAACAAACTTTTGATATTTGCTGTCAGGTAAGACAAATCAATATTTTCTTTTTGTCCCTTTTCCCATACTCTCAGTGGTCAATCATCCACAATAGCTTCTCCAATATCCATAAAATGTTCCCTTACATTATAGATAACATCTTCTTGTTCCATCCATGGTTTTCCGAGTATTAGATCATGAGATAGATCTGGTATCACGTACGCATATAAGGTACGCTGATACCCATCAATATCAAGTTCCATTCTGACCATTTCTGTTATAGAATCATTGTCATTCCGATTCTTTGTAGCTTCAGTAAGCTTTTGTGGTGTTATTTTTATTCGAGGTATCCTAGCTTTAAGTACTAAGGAACTACTAACCGCAGCTAGACATTTGCATCTGTTATCAATTAGGGTAGGAATTGAATATATTCCATTGATAACAGCGTCTATAATGAAAGAAGACCCATTCATAGAGCTTTAGGCTTCCTTATCTTCAATTAACTTTGAGCTAGTGACCATATTTATAGCTCTGTTTCCTTGTCCCTGGACATATTTTGATTTGGGAGCTAATTCTTTTGACACCTCGCCTTTTGCAACTTTGGCCTTGAAATTATCTGCAATATCCTCTACAAATGTTGCTGCCTGGACAAGTATTTCAGGATGCTTAGCTGGTAGCAGTTGACAGCTAGCTATAACGTGACCTTTCTTCCCACATTGCAAGCATGACCCATCAATTTTGCGCCCATTCAACTCGTCACGTGATACCCACTTTGCACGGACTTTCTTGACACCGGTCATCCTTGTGTCAATATCTACAACTTCACTGTGTAAGCTGGCTCTAGCTGGAAGGTGGAGAGTTATCTCTTGTGAGATTCCCCCCAGTAGTTTGCCCCCAGCTACGCCTCGTGTTCTGTCGTGGAAGTATCCAGTCTGACCTAGTAGGTATTCCCTTGTAATTTCTATACCAACCTCGTCAATTTCAGAACCTAGGATCGACAGGTAATCAATTAATTCTCTAAGTGTTTTAGGATGAACACCACCAATCATGTAATTCCTGGTTGTCTTATTCAGAGAGTTCTGTGACTGGTAAATCTTGCATTTTTCATTCCCTTTCAAACTGGGGCTTTGTGAAAGTAATTGTTGGAAGCGCGGTAGATATGACGATAGGTTCTTGTCCCGGAATTGTCGACATGCATGAAATACTGTGGCCGCCAATTTTTCCTTGTTTCTGTCGCAACAGGTATTATCCATAGCCTGTAACAGTCCCAGTGCATCCCATTCCATGCCATTTGCAAGCATATTTTGAAACTGACCTATAATCATGTCTTTCGCTGTTCCAGTTACTGCATGACTAAATAGTTGCATTAAAAAGTCAGATGGTTGAAGAATACATTGCTCCTATACATCACGCCTATATAAGTACTGAAGTATTCCATGCGTAATTGCCCACTTAGTTCTATCCTTATGGTCGTATGCTTCTGGCCATTTAAGTGTTTCCTCTTCTATGAAACATTCTCTGCATTCTGATTGGCCTCACACATTAGCTCTTGACTGTTGTAGGGGTAAATTTTTGTTAGCCTCGGACCGTTCCTGCATTGTTTCCATCATTTCCTTCAATTGAGATTGTTGCATCCCCAGACCTCTTCTGTGTTCCATTTCTCTTAATTTCATTTCTTCGACTAGTCGCTGCATTTCCGACTGTATTTCTCCATGTGGCATTGATTCCTGGTTCGATAAACCAGTTGCCATAGAGTCCGTTCCGATGTTAAAATTGTTCATATTTGAACCCATTGTTGATTCTTCGAATCCCTGTGCGTTAAAACCAATAATTAAGGATGCCCTAAGTCACAGTTATCTAAGGCTGCAATATACTTAATGACGGGCAAAGAATGTGGGATATAGTTTAAATTGTGACGGAAACCGAGTTGGTTATGAATAAATCGATTTATTAAACTACATGAAGAGAAAAGAAATCTCTAGCTACTACTAACAGGTACTTATAACGTTTGGTCCGCTTCGTGAATCCGCTGACTGATAACTTCTGCCTAGGCCTAATACTTGCTACCGAGCCAAGTATTATCAGGAGCCATTACGCTATGATGTTGCTTCGACCTCCTGGCTAGTAGTACCATTTCATCTCTATTTGCCCATCCTTCCTCTTTCAGTCTTAAAGTAATTATTCCTAATTAAGCGCTTAGGTTTCCTCCTAAGCTAAAACAACGGTCAAACCGTAACAGTCATTCTCTTTGGTACACAAAAGTCTGCGGCGCCCGGATGGCCGGCCTGACTTCAAACTTTATGTTAGGGCGTGCGCAAATGATACTGGAGATTTCCGTCCGTCATAGGTAATATAGTAATAACTTATGATTATAATTACTTACAAAGAACACTTAGAGACAATTAAACTAGTGAGGTGCTGGATGTTCAAGGACTGAAGAGTTGAAGTATAGTCGAAAGAAACTAGTCAAGAAGTCGAGTCGCGGAGGAAGCGAAATAGTCTGATGAATTAAGATCAAATGAAGTAGGAGGAATGTGAAGAATAGTAAATGACTGACAATATCAGACTATGAGTATAGAAGAATATAATAATATATGATTGCTAGAATGTGAGACTCAAGACTAAAGATTGAGAAGCTAGATAGCTACTTTGTGGCAGCTCCAGCTTCCTTAACTCTAACTCATGAGCGTACTAGAATTCAACTGAAGCTATGGCAAGATGTGCTCAAGACTCCAGCCAACTGACTTTAACCGCAGAATTTTCCAGAGAAACTTATCATTGGACCTTTTTCCCAGAACCTTCTTTAAGGACGCCGAGCCATAACGCTTGAGATGGCTAGGAATATTTCTGGATCTAGCCTTGATGTTGGTATCTGGAGAAACTTTAACCTATTTGCCTTTGGGTCTTTTCCCAGCTTCCATCTATACGTAGGTGGCTAACAATTCGACTGTTGTTGAGATAATATGAAGGGTAAAAGAGTCCTCTTCGTGTATGATCGAATATTTAATCGTGAGATGTAGTTCAGTGGAAAAGATATTGAAAGGGGGGCAGAGGAGGAAATTTCTACTAAGCGTGTGTACAACGAGCTGTTCGAACAATTGGACCGGGGGTGAATCAAGACATAGGTAGGATCCGAGTTGTTTTAGTCATTATGATGGGATGAGATGAGATCATTTTTTCTACATATTACAGTTAACCTTACCCAGCCTGGAACCGGCCATGTTAAGCTCCTCAGATGAGAAGGAGTATCAACTACCTAGCAATTTAGATTTCATGCTATAGGAAATAAGCCTAGTTGCTTAGAGCTGCGACTTTCCTTCTACGCTGTGTTGGACAGGAGACTATATCGGTACTGAGATTAATAGGGGTGTGATTGCTCCAGCTTATCTCCGGCGCTCTGCATTCTCGAGCTTCAATGAGATTTCGCCACAATAGCTGATGCATGTAAGTCTTTGACCAGATCGGTGGTCTCTCAGTATGTTGTTCATCAGGAAAAACTGATCTTTAGAAACATGATATTTGAAAATGTCGCTTTGTAATTTCAAGATGGCCGCTAGATCTGTGGATTATATTAAAGTGTAACGTTATCTACGATTATAGCAGGCCTGCCCCAGGCTGAACGCCTTACGCCGTATGTATCCTAGTCTCTTGAATACTTTAATCAAACATCAGGTGCAATTTAATGATGCTCTAATTTTTCCTCCTATTTACACCGTTTCTCAACAATATTAGCCCCGAATTCGTCATACTCCTTGCGAGAAATCCACATTTGATGAAAAGTACCCAAGCTCCCGAGAATGCTGCCACCGATCCAGCTGCCAAATCTCCTTTCCGATGTTAGCCCAGCCGCATTTATCTTGATTCGCGCGCCAGGATAAATGTTCTTGAGCTCCTGATCGAGCCTTTCGACCAGACCTAATGTGAGACTAGTACCTCCTACAACCACAATATTTTGGAGTAAACTCGCGCGGATGTCCATGTCGACGCCTGAGACACTCGCCTTGACCATCTCAGGGAGAGTTTGGGCTTTAGATGGTTGTGTCTCACCTGGCAATAGTAGCGCTGCTTTTTCATCGTAGAAGCCTTCCGCCACACTGAATCTTTCGGCACCCCACGTACGATTAGAACCATCAGGAAATTCGAAAATACGACCGGGCTGTGATTTAGCAATATCGTAGTTACTGCCGCCGTTCATGGCCGGACCATTCAACCTGGTAGGACCTGGCCACACTTGTACGACCGATTCTTTGAATTCAGTAATCACACGTTCCTGTTCCAAGCTACGAAATGATTCTGTGTGTGTAATTTTGGGCTGTCGGAAGGTAGCTTGTGAAGGCGCATTTTGCTCTACTGGCACCTTAGAAGCAATCATGAAATGTGGAATAATATTAACCGGTGGATTTTGTAGTGAGAATAGTATTCGTATCTGAGAGGATAACCAGTTGCCTGCTAGTGGGGACTTTTGAATCGATTTTTTAAGAATGAGACCGTCATGAATAGCAACAGTAGAAGATGTGGAGGCCCCAATATCAACAATTAGAGCGGTGGCCTTACCAGCCCCAAATCCTGATAAAACACTGTTTCGCGCAAGCCAAAATGCTGGGCAGCCCCAACTTTCCATGGCTACTTCGATTGATTTCTCACGATTTTTTGTGGTGTTCCATGCAGTTTCAGTAAGAAGTAAAGGGTGCTCCTCCATCGCCTTTTCACTCTCATTGACTCCCTCCATTTCAGTATCCATATCCTTAGTATCATCATTCAAGTGATCTTTTTGATCCTTGCTTGGCTTATAACTAGTCAGCCGTGATGTGACAGCATATTCCCAGAGCTTCGTAGCAACGTCCCAATCTTCGACGATGCCTTCGTTGGACATGGGATTTTGAATCTCTAGCTCAACCAGCGGATTGTGAATGGCATCATCGCCAAATAGATTTCGTCCATCTTTTGTTCGACCGTAATACGAGTTAAGAAATGACTTGGGCGTGTCTTCTCCAGCGAATCCCGCGCGTACGCTTGAGTATCCCGGGTCGAGGATTATGGCGGCCACTTCGTCTGTACATTTTTGTTAGCTGAGTGGTTATCAGGTTGGAAAAGATAAGATGCTCTACCTCCCCCATAGACATCAGTAGGCTGGGTCGAGGAATTCATTGCTAGTTACCAGGAGGGCCAAGATCACCTTCTTTTGCATTAGATCAAGTGTGTATGGCTAAGTGGGTCCTGAAAGATTTGAATAAAATACGGCGACCGAAATGCTTGAATCGTGCAGCCCGAGGCTCTTCAGGTGCACGATCGCTTCGTCATCAACTATTGAGTAACTCTTACAATACCATTCTTTGCATTTTCAATACAAATCCCAGTCTGAATTAATATAGTATGACATATATTCGAATCAAACTAACAATATCAAGATGCATGTGTTTCAAGCTATTATTGCGTAATAGAGTTGGGTAGGCTTCTCGATATTACACAAAATACCAAGGAATCAGCGTACGAATAAGGATCAGCTACTATAGCTACTTAGTGCATAATACGATTGTTAGGCACAAATAAAATATCTATTGGTTGGGCCACCTCATAGATTATCATTTTCCAATGTCTTCTCTAAATGTCACTCCCCTAGCACAACCTATGACTCGGCGGAGATATGGCACGTGCACGGAATGGTAAAAGTAGGCACCCTCCGGGTCAACTCTAGTTCTACAATTTTGACAATTGTGTCATCAAATACGAATTCTCCTCTGTAGAGAATTTTTGATGGAAGTAACCTCCATATGTGTTTTGCACAAACGAATCCTGAAAGAGACGATTTATAGAGTGTAGCAAGAATAAAAAACAAATTTCCAGATTCAATGGCCCATGTTAATAATCGTCCCAGCAGCTACTTTGCAAGCCAAGTAATGAGTAGAAATAGTTTTTATCGTTAAATTATTTATTTATACGTTAGTTATACACAGTTATGTCTGCGCATGTTTATTCGCAATAGCCTAACCCACAACAACGCTTCACTTAAGCAAGTTTACTCGTCAATCAAGTACTTTTGATTCATTAATTTACACTTTTAAAGAACAACAATATTACCCACTAAATGTCCTTGGCTCTCTATGTGAAAGCGTCTCTTGACACCTAAGCTTCGTGCACGCCTGAGCTGCTTCTCAGTCTCAATTCCACCTCCGACCATGACCATCGCAATCTGATTATGCCGGACTAACCCACTAGAAGTTACCTGTGTCTTGTCCAGCAAGGGCCTAATTAGTCGATTTTTCTTGGCCAGATTTCCATGAACCGGAGTTCCGGGATATTCACTCTCATGGGCCGTCTCATCATTAGCATGATCATTATCTTCATCATCTTCGCTAGAGACTACAACAACTAGTTGGAGGGAGCCTGAAGTTGGAGCAAATGATGGTATATTGGAAAGTTTATCAGAAAATGAACAGTTTCCTCGACGAAGTACGAGTATTTGAAAATTCTTGGGTACATGATCCTTGATCCTTTCATTGCAGCCATCGCCTGCAAAGTAAACAGTTTTCCATAGGAGCTGGGTATCATGTGCCTTGGGATCTGCATCTTGCGCATCTGGAACATCTGGAAACGGGGCAGCACCAGGCCCGGTGGGTATAATTGCGGGAAGTGGGGAAAATTGGTACGAGGGCTGTAAAGGTAGTGTTGCTGTTGGGGTGGTAGTAGGCGCCGCTGGGATTGATGTAAAAGACTGACCCAACGATGAAACGATGGTTTTTTGTTCAGTAGGATCATCTATGCTTGAGGATTCATTATCAGATTTTCTACTAACCCCTTCATTGTAACTCTGAGGTTTATCGGCTGAGCTGTGAGGCGATAAATTTGGATCATCCAGTTGCAGAACTAAATCAAGCATAACGGGATCTCGTACCCGAGTGAATGATGGGTCAATCATCTCTCCGATAACGCCTCGTGGCATAAAAATCTGCTCGTCTCTCCCAAGCGGGATATTAGCTATGTTCCATACACGCCACATATTTATCGATTCTGGGCTTTCATTAACATGTAGAGAAGGTGACTCGAATATCAAGCCTAGTATAAGGCCAGAGAGAGACTTTACCATAATTCCTTCGGGGATCCGATGAAGATTTTGTGAACCAAATAGGACAAAATTAGAAGTACTTGAGGTAAGAACAGGCATAGTAGTAGGAAATTCAATGCTGAAGGTATTCTTAAGAGGAAGAATGTCGCAAAAACCGTTGACAGGCATGAGATCCCTGGGAAGTGTCCAAGGGTAATAAGTATAATTTGCTAGATTTGCCTGACTATTTATTGTAGGTTGTGAAAGGGCTAAGATCTCATCCTCATCTATATGATGATTTGGCAGAAGATGTAGGCCAATGAGGCTGGATGCATGAAAAAAGTCACGCCTAGCCGTAGTGACGGATATGGTAAAGGGTAACGGTGTAGGAGCGACAGAGCAGGTATCTATCATTTTTTTGCCGTCATCTTGGACCGATTTGAGTGCCAATTTCACGTTTTCCGGACCGAAATCCTGGTTACTTTTTGGAATGATCACCGGATGACCTTCAGTGGTGAAGACAAACCCGGCGTCAAGAGAGTTTAATGGGTGTTCTAGATCAAAGAGAAGATATAGGTACTTGGTAGTTTCTCCTAGAAAGAAGCTCTCCATTCGATCATTCTTTTCGCCCGTTCGGACATCTTGTAGACCCGACCAGCCACATTTTGTCCAGCACCTTTCTTTGATATCTTTCAGAACCATTTCACCGACATAAAGGTACCATGGATCCCTTGTGGCGCGGTAGAGATAGTAATTCGACTCGATAAATTCGGGTCGACCGGGCCACCAGCCAAGACCACCCTCGACCTGTCCGTGATGTACTGACCACCTTTCGGGCAGTGCAGAATATCGCGTCCATAGAGCCGTATATAATAGATTTGTCTGAATTGCTTCTTCGACTTCACCTGCCAATACAAGTAATCCCGGATAGTATGCACTAAGGCTATCGATCCAGTATGCTTGCGGTGAGCCCGTGCTCAGGTGAACATTTATATAATGTGGATGATGAACACTACTGTACAAATATCTCTTCACCGCTGAGCGAGCTTCATACCAAGTGGCCAAAAAGGCTGCGGATGAGTTTTCCTCGACAGATAGAGGTTCATGCATCAAGTTAGGGTCCGGAAGATCTGCCTGCTCCTCTTCATGAGGTTTGGAGAAGTTAAACTGATCATGGCCCGATAAAAGGATGTAAGTTTTTAATGCATACTCAAAAAAGCTGTCAGTGCCTGCGCCAATACCCGAATATGCGCCTATCCACTCGCCATTCTCAGAGTCAATACCAGCGCCTAAGAGACCTATGGAGCTTCTTTTTTCCCATACTGACCAAAAAGCTCTCTTGGCCAATTGCTCAAAGCGTGAATCATGCGTCAGACGACTTAGTGTTGTGAACTCGAGGACTAGACTTCCGGCACCGGCTGTACAAGTTTCAGTTGTTTCAGCTTCCTCATTTTCTGAGAAGCCTTGTGATTCATACATCGCAGAATTCCGATAAAATGGTATTCCATGTCGCAAATTGACACGAGGATAAGGAATTCCAGTAGGAGTATAGAAGGCAGGCAAAATTCGCTGTGCCAAGTCGAGAGCCAAACGCAGTAACTGACCGTTGTAGTTCAAACCATTAGGCCAAACAATCGCAGGTAACTCTCCTTTTTTTAATTTTTTTTGCTTGGTTTCTTCCAAGAGTTTAGGGTTGTAATGCAAAATTGGTAGCTCTCCGACAGCAAATAAATGAGCACTTAAAAGCCCACCTACTCCTCTTATAACTGTCTCGAAAACCTGAACTTTGCTATCAATGTCAAATCCACGCCCCCTGAGCCCTTTACCAGATGTTCCATTAGTACCATCTCCGTAATGCAGGATAAGTGATGCCACGCCATCTTGAAATTTTCGAAGGGACTTCTCTGCAGTTTCTTGGGCATCTGGAGGACTTGATGCCAATATCGCAAGCGTTGAGAGACTATCAATTAACGTCAGGGAATAATTTCCGAGAACATCGTTCAGAGCAACGTTTTGATGATTCTGCTGGTCGCGAGTTAAGGGTATGCAAGATACGGGTCTTATCTAGCGAAGTTAGTTAGCAGAAGATCTTTATCAGTGTGAAGGTATTTAAACCTCGTCTTCAGGAAATGCAATTTCCATGTAGTTGTCGAAGCCATGGTAGAACATGGCTGCTGTTTCTTGCCTTAACTGCGCAATCCTTTCGGGCCCCATGGCCCGAGCAGCTCCAAGCCATGAGGTAAATATTCCCAAAACGTACATTTTCATACTGAATGATTAGTCGAGCTGCTTATGCGCCGTAGACTCTGCCATTTCAGTGGCATCATCAATTCAAGCTGTTAATAGAAGTCATGAGGTTTAATTAGGCATTGTATTGCGCGATTAGGGCCAAATTATTGAAGAATATAGCGGGTCAGTGTTTCAGGCAGTTAGCATGAAGCCATACGTACGAGTCAGTGGCCAAGGAGACGAGCCCTGGGTGACCAAGCTATCGTTATCTGGCTAGCCAATGACATGCAACAAATCGCAGTTATCACTCGACGTGTCCTCATGTGCTTAATTGCCACAGTCCTCGCTATTCGATTAGATTTGATTTGAAGTTAGACTTCTTCTTGATCTAAAACCTACAAAACGTCACGCTGCTCATGTACGAATCCTGACCAGTTCTTTTTGAAAAAAGAAGATGCTCTTAATTGCCGCTAGCTATGAAAACAAGTTATGAAATTTAGGTTAATAGAGTAATCTAAAAATTTATACAATATAAAGGAACCATGACTGGGTTACATAATTACCTCAAACTAAATACCAGTGATCTCTTCGTTTGCTACACCTGGTTGGTCTGACTCGCACGCTTATCAGCTTATATCTAGGTGCGGAGTTCGAGTAGACGAGTTGCAACTATTTATTCGTCAAGCTATTAGGGTTATGTTACAAATAGTCTGAAACCTCAATCTTGATAAATTACTTTTATTCTCATTATTTACCTACAGGGACTGAAGAACTAGCGCAAATGTGTTATTTCAGGGTCCCAAGGAAGACAGACCGGTAGGATGATAATCAGATACGATTACATCAACATTTAAAACACATTATCAGGCGCCATCTATTACAGTCACGAGCATAAGAATGAGTGGGCTGCACGACATACTTGAACGAATTAGCACTTTCAACATCCATTTACCCCCTGCTAACTGAGGATAGATATTTGTTTGAAGTAGATCAGCTTCCGCATATTTTGATGGATAGAGATATGATTCAGTGCATAGAGCGTAGTTACAGCCCGTCGTACCCCACGCAGGACGTCGATCCTGTTCGTAGTTTAAAAACTCAAGGACGCACATCATAGGCTCGATGTTGCGATGGCAGCTATCTCTTGAGGAGATACAATTTAGCCGCATTTTTGTACGTTTTTTTAAAAAGTTACTCGATCTTTGGCCAGATAACACTGAATCTTCTCAGTTTATCTCCAAAAAATATACGCAAGCAGTATCCCTATGATAGAAAATCCTATTTATTACACACACCGAAAGGTGTGAGATGCACATTTTCTAGATCTCAGGACATAAATTTCCAATTAAGTCGGCAATAACGGGCATAGCGACTGGCTTCCTGTTAGAAATCGCTCAATTTAACCTTCAGGCACCGTAAAAAATGAAGTAAATTCACAATTTCAAATCCATGGTTTAAAATAGCCCTGTACACTTGATGGGGCCTCGGAATACATAGTTGGCTCAAGGATTGCACCGAGCCGTAAGCCTCAGGACTATGATTCGGACAAATTACGGCTTCTTGTAATGAAATTTGTAACTCTATATCCTATAATACATGTTTAATTTAAATAATAAATTAAGAAGTTGTGAAATAGAAAATTGTTCCCTGAAGATTGGGGGAAAGTTTTACGTTTATATAATACTAGCGTGAGAGATTACTTGGTGTATGACAAGGGATGAACGCCTGCCCGCAGTGTTGTCATCAAAGCTGCGGTTGAAATATTCTCCTAAAGCCAAGTTTTATCAAAATTTGTGAAACCAAAAAATTTGTCTCAGAATGTAATTTCTCAAGACTTCTTATTACATCAATTTTTGACACTGAGCGAGATTGATTTACACCAAAGCTTCAATGAGTATGCAAGGAGGGTAAGGCTGAACACCTGTACGCGATTTCCTCTACGAACCTGGGAGTGAAATATTCTCCCAGAGCAAAGTTCAGTCAAATTTCGCAATATCGAACAAGTTGGCCCATGAGGCAATGATTCAAAATACTCCACCATATCAATCTTTCACCCCCAACGAAATCGATTCCTACCTAAGCCTCATCAAGTTTACAAGTACGACCTAGTACATCCTCATGTCAATGACCATACCTCTCTACTATTCTCTGGCCTCAGCTGACCACCAAATAAATACCCGCGCCGAAATTTACACCCGATGAAGGTAGCAAAGCGTTGCGCACAAATCTGGGAGACAGTTCTTTGGGATGGATGTGAGAGGGATCAGGACAAGTTGATAAGATGATGCAGAGGATCGGATACGTATTCAACGGGCGTAAAGTTTCGAATTTTGGCATGGAGTTTTACGAATTGAGCTTTGTGCGCGCCAAGACTTCGGTTGCGAGAGTGCAGGCGACACTATAAACACTGCCATGGTTGGATGGTGCGGTGGTACATCGTCTTGGCCGGTCTGCCAAGTAGAATCTGGATACCTTGGACACATATCCCACTCGAGACAGTAGATCGCTGGTTCATATCCGTCAAAACACAACCACATTTCTCGCGGCGCTGGTATGCATGGATGACGAAGGCATGCTTGGATAATCAAAGGTTTTTAATTTCCCTTTGGTGGGTACTAACGGAGGAGGGTCGACCGTTTGTGTAAGCGAACATACCTCATAGTGGTATTTGCAAATGAAATCCAGAGTATGAGTATCTCTAACGTGAAAAGAGTCATCCCACATGTATACATAGCACCAGTCATATGTCATAGCTATATAGCTGCATACTCAATTAAAATCTGATGCAAAAAATAAAACTGATCACGGAGGAAAAGCCATCCGATGAATTTCCAGAGCGTTTGCAGCGCCCGATCCGGAGATCGGCGGATTGGAACAAGTTGACCCCGAAAGTTACAAAGACGGGAGATATAAATAAATAGACCCCCCTCGTGTGGACACGGTGTCCAGGTCTCGCCTTATTGGGGCTGTAGGCTTATTAGAGATTTTTTCCGTGTGTACAATTTCCATTGCCACCATTTTCATTTTTTTGAGTAGAAGATTCGGTGGAGAAGGCGATCGAATTCCACAGGTAAATACGGAACTGAATGGCGATAGCAATACATCAAAGGTAACAAATCATTAAGCAGTTAAGAAAGACGAGGAGCAGGGAGCGTTTTGTCAGGTGGAATCTGGGACGCAAGGGACAACAATGTGCTTTTCGGCTTGAAGATTAATGGTGTAGTAGAGATTTCTCACATGATTATACAGCCACTGCACCATGTATAAACAACTCTTGTGGCTATACCACTGCGCCATCAGGAGCTTCCCAGACATAGGAGGCCTTACGTTTAATCCCCTAACAGCTTGATCAATTCTCGCTAGGCTCTGTAACTGTACTTAGTTTGGTGGAAGATCAAAGCTTGGCCCTCCCACCTTGCAATCTTTATTACAAGTCCATACGCTATTCTTGTCCTCATTGAGCTGATATACTCTTGTGCATCACCGAACCGCTCCAAATCCCTAAGGCGGCTGTCTCGTCGCACACTAGCCTTGGCATTTTGCAACAATCACTTTACGGATTAGCACAATTCATAGCAGGAGCGCCCTCCCGACGTCTATGAAGAACCACGCTTGGAAATTAATAATCGACAGCTGGGAAGATATCTTGTCTCAGTCATCAATTCTTCATCTCGTCTTACCAGATGATGTACCTGCAGGAATAAGGCATATTGTCACCCGTGCTTTCATCGCAGGTAAAGCTTCCGGTTCTGGAACTCCAATCGATTATAGTGATCTTTATACGGCGCCCTGTACAGATATTCAAAAACAAGTCATCAACGATGCTGCCTCCTTTGGCCAAGGGCTTGCTATTCAAGCCTTACAACCTATCACTCATCATCCACCATCTCTAGAAACTTATAACTTTTCAATTCCAAACTTTCCCAACCCTGATAAATTTGATGGAACGAGATCACAGTTTGGAAACTTCGTGACACAGTTGCAACTTTTATTTCGTTCGAACCCGTCCGCATTCAGTTTGGATATTTCTAAAATCGCATTGGCGGGATCATACCTCACTGGTCCGGCTTTTACATGGTTCAAGCCTCATGTTAATCAGACAAACGGTGATATATCCTTCAAAACTTATGCTACTTTCATTGACGCTCTTCGAAGTGTATTTGACGACCCAGATCCGTACTCAACTGCAGAGATAGAACTTAACTCTATATGTCAGACAGGCTCTTGTTCAACCTATTACGCAAAGATATCCTCAATATTTTCTCGACTCGGCTGGTCCGAACAGAAGTGTATCATATACCACTTTCACAAAGGATTAAGGGAAAATATAAAGGATGCCTTAGTAGGAAAAAATAAACCTACTTCATTTACAGAATACGCAGCCCTATGTATATCTCTAGATAATCAGCTATACGCTCGACAACGTGAAAAGAGGCTAGATGATTCGCAATCAAATCCAAGGCTCGAATAGGCCCGGTGATGCTCTCTTCTGAAGGCTTTCATGCCTTCGAAACTCCCGCAACCAACTTTTAATCTAAGGCAGCAGGAAAATTCAGAGGCAGAATGAAGAGCTTGCGGGGCCTTCAGGTGGAAGCATGGATTTTGTGCATATTGTGGAAATACAGAACATAAAATAACCACCTGCCCAAATCTATTGTTGCGCCCGAATCAAAGTTTGTGCCCGAAATCATCAAGTATTCAATTCCGGAGCTCTGATTCTGCATTCCATGAAACAATCTCAAAAATACAAAGTTTATCCTGCCACTATATCCTCATCTAATACAACTGAATTCCACTCTATTGGCTTGGGAAGTAAAAAACCATTTGCATTCACGACCGTTCTTGACAAGAGCATAAGTGATCTTAATATGGTAGACTCAGGAGGTCGAATTCGTTTATAAACTAGCCTTTTGTACAGAAGAATAATCAGATTCCCTGAGAAAATATAACAATCCAGACCATTAGAGTAGTCGACGGCCTCCAATTAGCCTCTGGGCTTATCATACATGAAATCAATTTAAGGATGTCAATTGTAAACCACTCGAAAATTTCAACCCTTCCAATCACTTGCATGGCTTGGTATGATATTGACTTTGGTAAATCATGGTTCTCGAAACATGATCCTGATATTAAGTGAGACACAAATAATGTGTTGGTTAGCTCTTCATATTGTAGACAGCATTGTATTGTACCTTAATCTCGCTCTTTGTCTCGTCCAACTCTTCCCTCGCCTCGGATTCGTCCTTAATAACAAGCTCATCTCTTGTCCCCTCTGAATATTCCATATATTTTTGAAATACATCCCTGAATGCTAAAATGAGTTGAATAAATCAGAAATTTAAGAGCACAAACAACTTCAGCACCAAATTCTACGTCAAATTCATGAACTCTTGTCCATTTTCCCACCCAAGCAAGCTGATTAGCTACCACCACACCGGTAAATTGATCATAGCATTCCAGTATATTTAAATCCAAGTCTTACTGTTGGAATGATTTAATGGAATATTATCGTGTAATTAATGATACTAGAATGATATGAATAATGAATCCCGATAATATTCGATTGATTGCTTGCTTATTATCGTTGTTACTTCTATCTGAGCATAAAGATATCACTATATCATATACAAGTCTCTTGTGCTAGCCTTTATCCCACATGACTACGCCAGTACTACTTGATCGTAAACTGAGACTCATTGATTCATTCAAATCTCCCGTTGCCTACGTATCACTAGACCCTAGGTTCACAACTATGACACAATGCTAAGTATATATGATACTCCTTGGCTGCGACTTCCTGACCCGGATGCTTCACCCAAGCATATATGACTCTGCCTCAAACTCGTCATGCGTGGTGGTTCGACGCCCCTGCCAAGATATCTATTATAGACCTTGTATCTGTCGTAAATAGTTATTTACAAGTCATGCTCACGATATTCACAACATGATTCATCTAGATGGAGTTACTTGGAGCCGGTGGTTGTTGCATTGCATTGGCTAGTTCTCTTGATGTATGGATTCTGACATTCGGATAAAGCACTATACAAATGTAGGCTAAATAGCAATTCCATAGCATCAACTGAGAACACGAATAAAACAATGAATGCGCATTCCTTCTGAACGATAGTCCGAAATACTTACACAAGTACTTTCATAAATTTAAATGAACTAATAGATTTTTAGTGTATGACCTTTGTCATACCAACACTTACTCTTGACCCGCTAAGAGGACGAAGGCTGAACACTTGTCAATGGTGTCCTCTACAAACCTGGGAGTGAAATATTCTCCCAGAGCCGAGATTCAGTCACGACAAAGGGTGGGATGAATTTTTTTTGATGGACTCTCGACTTGAAGGAGTTGCACTCAATAATTTGGTCGAAAAATCAGTCGGCGGGAATTTCACAGCCGGAACAAAGTTGAACAAAAAGTCATCGTCACCAACATACGATTCACGAATGGATTTAGGTCTGTCTAGGAGTCGTATTAAAACATCCGACATCTCTCAAACTCCTTTTATATTGGCGACGAAGCATTTCTCAGTCGATCCTATAACTGCGACCCACTTCGATACTCGTCCAATCACCTACCTACACACGCCCTTATGAGGAAAGTCATGATGGAAACGGGACGTGTACAAAGGATGAAGAAAAGGGAAGATACACCGAGGGGATTACGCAAATCCCCAAGGACGAAAACAACCCAACGGTACGATATGAAGGTGCAAAGCTTGAGCAACGATGAGATCTTGGACGGCATTTATATTTCGGAGTCAATGAGGATGTCAAGGGCTCGGGCGCGTGGTGGCCGAGACTGAGGAGGAAATTGCGCTACGGCGTGTATACAGCGGGTTTCTGGACAGTTAGGCTTGGTATGATTCAACACATAGGTGAAGTCTGAGGTGGTCCGGTCATTAAAGTGGGACGAGGTTTATCTGTACTTCACGGTAGTTAACCTGATCCGGCCCAACCCCACACGTGCTTAAGCTCCAATAGGAGTGCAACGGTAGTCATGTAACCTAGCACGTTAATGAACAAAACAAAACAAAAATAAAACTCTTGACCCGCTATATTCAGCGCCAGATACATATCAAATTTTCTAGATAAGCTTTTTCTTCAAGAACTTCCTTGCAACACATGCTACAAACCAATAAATTATATTCTCAGTTTCATGTCAGTGACTGTTACAGAATGATATATTTTCCCATGTTTGCATCACCTTAGTTCAGCGGATTGAGGCAAATCTACTAGTTTGCCTGAAAAAATATCACCAGACAGTAACAAGGCTCGGCACATGCTGTGTAGTCGTCTGATCACAACACATATTCACGTGACATTTAACACTGGTGAATTCTCGGCAAAGATAGAAAAGATCTGAATGCCAACACACTTGACTCTGACTTTGTGTGAGGATTCTCCTTCCCATCCTAACTTTAGTTTATAATTCTACCCTTCTCCTGATGTTGCTATGACAGCAGAACAGTTCTTGGCACTGGTTATTATGTTGGCACTAGTTTAGGGCCTATGTTATGATGAGCTAGTGGGAGGAAAGCAAGTATATGTATGATGGCTTGGCCTGTAGCTATGGAGTTCCTCGCGCTTAGTCTTCTGTCACAACCACCACCTTCGGATCACTTCTGGTCACCTATAGTCACCACTAGTTACCTTTAGCACCTTTAGTCACCACTAGTATTTGCTCGTACCTTTAGACTATTTAGACACTTATATTACCCATTTTTAAATCTTTAGTTCTCCAAATTATCTCCAGTAGATCTTTAGTCATCCCTCGCGATCCATCCGACCTCTTCTCGCCCTCCTATTCCACTTCAGGTCAAACGCCTACGCTCCAATTTGACAATGTTCTACTTGAAAGCTCTTTGCTTTCAATTGCTTTCTTCAACTCTTGTAGGGCAGCGTCGGTTTCCTGTGGCTTCTTCGACACGTTGTTTCTGTTGAGGGAGTACAGTTTGTAAGGAAGCCGCGAGTAGATTCTTTGCCACAACAAGTTGCCACATGATTTATCACTAGCGTGCTCTGTGACGTAGTATTAAAAGCCTAGTAAATCCTGAAGTTAGAAAGAATAAGGAAATGAACATGGATATGATTTCATTATAGAAGTATTAAACTGACACCGTGCTCCCATCAATTGTGATCAATATTTAACAATGTACACGCGAAAAGCGATCGAGTGCCAACAGCAAGTAATCTGTGAGACATCACCAGATCTCACCGCAGTAACAACAGGAGTCACATTTGTTTCCGTCTACCGCGCTCCTGGAGCAGACCTTTTGCCGCTGCTATCATGGGCTCCATTTGGGCCTACAGTTATTGGCGTAGACTTCAATGCTGTTCACACCGACTGGCAGCCAATGGCTACTAGGCCACACAGTGACAGCCAAGTGCTAACCAAGCAGATGTTCGAGCACGGTATGGACCTATCTTTCACACCGGGCGTCCCGACACACGACTTTGAAAACACACTCGACCTAGTCTAGTCTAACGCTGGTGCCCTTGCAGGTATTTCGATAGAGCTTGAGTCGGCATCGGACCACAGAACGCTTGCAGGAGATGTTCCCCGCCCAAACTCGAAAGCTAGGGTGTCAGGAACTGAGGATAGAGCAGCACCCTCATATTCTTTCCCTACACTACATCTGAATATTCTCTCATCTTAGAGCGTTTACCGGGTTACAATGGTTGCTATGGGTTACAAATGAAGTAATAGAATAGCAGCAGGCGCACCCCTTGAAGCCTTAGTTGCTCTGGTTACTATGATGTATATATGGGTTGGGTAGAGCCGATGTAGAGGGCCACGTCTTGTTTTCCGTCTTCCATTGACCTTGTCTCTTGTCCTAGTTTCTCTTGTCCCTTGTCCTCAGCTATAGCTAGAATCCCGAATTAATACCTTAGTCTATGACAAATCTTGTCAGATATCACTCGCACTTCTAAGTTATCCATAAAACACAACCCCTGGTACCCTCGAGTTTGACATAGGGCTATCATTCGAACCGGTCAACCAGTACGAGTGACAGACAACGCCCTCGAAGACTTCGCCAAGGTACTTGGTAGGTGGGCCCATGGAATAGGGTTAAAGCCATTGGATTCAATAAGCGCGGTAGACAACCTCGCTTATAAGCTGGTCCAAACCGTTAGCGATGCAAATAGGGCTACTAGAAGACACGTGAGTGCGAAGAAGGGTAGGACAGCACCTTGGTGGTCGATAGAGTGCGCACAAGCCAAAAGCGAATACAAGATATTCAGGGACAAAGAGAGCAGAAAGGATTTCCGTCGCAAAGTCAGAAGTGCGAAACGCCAGTACTGGCGGCAAAAGTCCTCCGAAGCCACAACCGACGTCGACATGTATTGGATGGCACGTTGGGCTAAACCGCAGCCTACATCTGCTACTCCACCACACCAAACTCCGGATGGTTTTGTCTCGGATCCAGGAAAGCGTGCACTTCTATTGCGCGATCTCCT